AGAGAGAGACAGAGAGAGACAGAGCGATAGACAGCGCAGATATCGTACATGTTTAAATAGTGGTATATGTTGATGGACACACTGGCAAGCGATGCAGCATGTATCTTGGCTAAAACCCTAATAGTACGTTTGCAATACATGGCATAGAAACGCGTTAGATCCATTATAAGTGCGACGTTGTTAGGATAATGTGTGTCAATATTAGGTTTTTGCCCTCGTGACATCGCTAAAAGGTGACCTGACACTGTGACAACACACAGGTGTTGTTTGGTGACTGGGGACATTACGCGATGACTCACTGCTTACAGGGAGTCCATTCCGCTGTGATGTCATCGATTCATCAGGCATCACCGCGATGGGAGATGGACTGCGGCGGACCCCCGTCGGAAAGTCGGCCATGTTTATCATTGATCCACTGGGGCTAGCGATTGCAGATATCCAGATGTACTGCCAGTGTAAGACATTCTATCGCGCCTTGACATTTCTTTTTCAATATAATGATGGTTATTATTGCACTGTGCTCGACTTCAAAGGAACAATAATTTTGGAACGGTGAAAGTTGTCGACGTTTTGTTCTATGTATATCACTATTGTTTTACACGAAAGTTGGTTTACTAATTAAGTAATCTGCCCATAGCTTTTTCTAAAGCATCTGAGTGATTTGTTTTACGAGCATGTTGCTTTTGATTTCCAGCGCCAAGCGGACAAAAGGTACCACTGGAGGTTTCTGGAACAGCAAAGTTGAAGGTCGAGTATACGCCGCTAGAGGTCGGCATACACACGTTGTCGATCATGCACGCAGGGCGCGACATCGTCGGCAGTCCCTTCCGTTGCAACGTCTACGACTCGTCCAGAGTGAAAGTGTCACGAATCGGACCGGGGACAGTTGGCGTGCCCGTCAAATTCCACGGTGAGACGTCCCTGCGTGCGTGCGTGCGTGCGTGCGTGCGTGCGTGCGTGCGTGCGTGCATGCGTCTGCGTGCGTGCATGCGTCTTTGCGTGCGTGCGTGCGTGCATCTTTGCGTGCGGTCATGTCTTTGCGTGCGTTCATGCGTCTTTGCGTGCGTTCATGCGTTTTTGCGTGCGTGCATGCGTCTTTGCGTGCGTGCGTGCGTCTTTGCGTGCGTGCGTGGTGCATGGCTGTCTTTGCGTGCCGAGTGCCATGCGTCCTTTGCGTAGCGTGCAAGGTCCTTTGCGTGCGTTGCGTTGTGTTGCGGTGATATCGGTTTGCAGTGCCGTGCATTATTGCGTACTTATGCACGTGCGTAGCCGTGTGGTGTGCGGTGATATCGCGTTTGCCCCGTGGCGATGTCATCGCGTCTTTGCGAGTGTGTCATGGCGTCTTTGCGTCGCCGTGCATAGCGTCTCTGCGTCGCGTGGCGTCGGTGATGTTGCCGTGCATAATCGGTTGCGGTGCGTGCAATGGCGTCTTTGGCGGTGCGTGCGTGGCTGTGGTTGCGGTGATAACGTCTTAGCGTGCGTGCATGGGGTCTTGTGGCGTGTGTGCATGGCGTATCTTCTGTGGCGTGCGTGCGAGATTGCGTCGTCTGCGCTGCGATGCGACGTGGTGGTGTTGGACGCGGGTGAGTAGGGTCGTTCTGCGATGGCGGGTGCTGCCTGCCGTGCGTTTAGCGTGCGGGTGCGTGGTGTGCTTTGCGTTGCGAGTATGCGGTTTGTGGCGTGCTTTGGCCCTCTCATATCACTAAATAGAAGATATATTAAAGTGGCGATGGGATTCCGCACGCGAGCTACTGGTAAAGCTAATGCGACTGGCGCAGTAACCGCTTGAACTGAATTCAGGCCCGGAATTTTTTGTCAATAGTCATGGAATGTGCGCCTAGATACTGGCCTGCGCTAATACTTGTTGGTCTTTCTTTATACCATGAGTATTTCTCTTGTCTCTTATAACATGAGTAAAAACTATCAGAATAAACAAGTAGATGATCCGGTGCACACCATGCCGACCGTACTAGTCCACAGAGATATTCCCACCTCTTGTGATTGAAATGTTTCATCGTGGCTCGATGATAACTGACAATCATACTGATTCCCAGATTTCGTTCTTTAGTCTTGCATAAATAAAGAATTTTTTCGTCGCTACCAGTAACCAGGTACTTAGCAGCTAATAATAATTAAACAGCATTTACTTTCAAGTAGACTATGTAAGCAGAAAATATTTTAAGCATAGTGGGAAAGCAGCGTCAATGAGCTTAATTTAACTTCTCGTAGATGTGTTCACAAGATTTTCTTTCTCAAAGGAGCGACGGTAACATTTCCAACCTCGCACGCCATTTTCTATGCGAGACTCCTCTTCCGGCCCTGCTTACTCTAACTTGTCTCCATGCAGTCGATTGCTAGGCAGAGGCCTGGCGAGGGCCTGCTCTCGAGTAGATATCTCCTGCAAAAGTCGCAAGGTTCTGATCGTTTGTGCGCAAGATGGGAGAGGGCATGTATCGATGTGGGAATTCACATGCCCAAGTGGACAGTGCACCCGCACATCGGTCGACAATCGCCGTGGATACAACGACGGTCGTGTGGCGGTACGTATACATATATACACTTTATTATCTGATTATGATTATTTGACGGCTCAGCATACGGTCCGCCAATCTGCGGCTCGCGATCGTCGCTGCTTCCGCTCGCGTTCCGTTGAATAGTGCGGTAGGTCACGAGTTTCGAATCTGGCAGGCAACGGCACGCTCATCGCGGCTTATTCTAGACCGGCAAGTCATTGTCATCGCTGTCTCACATTATCGCAGTGCGATAAAAGGATCTCGACAATCACCTTCACAGGCCGGGCCGGCTGTCTCATTTAAACATGGTGACTCTAAATGATACACGTTAGCGAAAGACATGAATGCAATCGACGGCTACTAAATTCTGACCAGGCTGGCTACTGATTATAAGACATTACGTCATTCGCAGTTCGAAATCCTGCTCGGGTCTGATGGCCAAGCACGCTCGTTAGGAACTAAAAACGGAGTTTAAGTTGGCTCGCTGCGCTTCTTGAATGTAATTTTGTTTTTTAATTGTGTTGTCGTTAAGGTGCGTTTCTTCGGACGGTCTAAGATGTTTGACATTTGTTTTCTGCTGTATTGTATTAAATTGCGGTGCAAGATTTAGTTGGAGACCTCACGATTTGCGTTCGTTTTTCCAGGCGCCTAACGCTCATGCCTGTATTAACCAGTAACACGCAGGTAATATTTTTTTTTGCTCTTTGTTTTGGCAAAATTTAATTTTGCGGGCTTAACATAGCGCTTAATTTCGCCTACATATTTATCTTGCTGGCCTGACTGAAAAGTGGTGCTTTTGCACTTGAAACGTGCCTCGGTTCTATTTTTTACGATTTATCATTCTCTCCCACGGTCGAACTACACCAACATAGTTTAGTGATGGGCCCGCACTGACTTACTGGTTTATTACATCGTGTGTCCCAAGGTCAGCGAAGTCGGACAACCCGAATTTTGCCATCAAAAAATGCTGTTCTCGCTGAACTACCGGCTAATTAACAATTAATGGTATTTCTGTTAATGGAATGCGAGTTCTTTTGAAATAATATTCTCGGCCAGCGATTTGAATCGGGAAAGAGTCGGACCTGTTCGTTGCATCCAGAAGTGATATGTAAAGGCTGCCCCTGCGAACGGTCAGAGTTCGTTTGGGCATTTGCATGCACACTTTCGAGCTAGACTGTCTCCGTGCTTATTCAGCTAGCCTTGTCACGACGTAGCACGTAAATTAGGCAGCACATAACGTGAGTCGTTTTCTACGAATCGCTGTTTCCTCGAACGACTGTTGATCCGATTTTGTCTACCCTCTGGTAATTGATTGGCCTATCGCGAACTCTGTTTCGCAATGCATGCAAACTCACCGCCGAAGCACACTGTCGGATGCCTCATGTACATGCACTCTGCTTCAAAATGTACTGTCTTTCCCCATATGCATGCACCCCACGCACGGCACGCCGCCGCGCACGCGACAGCACGCCATCCACGCATATGTAAGCGTGAGGAGAGTAAAAACCTGGTGGTTTGATTATTAGGCACAACTCTCACGCGCAGTTAGTTAAACAACATTACAGTCGAATTACATCGAACACTAAGTCAAAATAACCATCGTGATATTTTAATGAGAAGTGCAATCCTTTTTAAAAATGGAAATTAAGTAATTTGTAGGGGCACCTAATTGAATGCTCAAATATCACAGGTTGGCGTTTAAGATCAGCTAAAAATACACACCTTGACACCAAATTGAATTGTTGTGCCGCCACATATGATTCTTGCTACGTGAGATCTACGTCAGTTGACAGACTGTTTGTTTGTGTCGAAAGGAAAGCGGCAAAATCGATGCCGTTTAATGCTGTAATTTAAATACACGAAGCATGAAGAACCCATAATTCATATCTCCCATGTATTTTATTTTCTCAAAAAGAAGGACAGTGCTTGTAATATTTTCCACGTGGCAGTAGTCAAAGTTCAAGTCGTGATTAAGTCTAGGTTTAGATCGAATCTAGGAATAAATTAACTTGACTCGCCGCTCCTTTAGAAGATGGAATTAACTGAACATACCACCGGCGTTAATCACTAATTGCAAATAGACGAGGCAAGGCAGTTTTGCAAGCAGCAAAAAATGTTTTCTCAGCTGTTGTGGTGCATTGTAAATAGCTCTATAGGGTTCCATCAGTTTTTTATTTGAAAACCGGATCGAAATACTGGAAGAATCTGCATATCTTTCTGAAGTGATTTCTGAACTTTTGAAAATCTAGTTTGTTGTCAGCGTATGTGTTTGACAATTTTTTTATCAAGCTTTGCCGCTTAAGTCCTTTTTCCGGATATCTGGCTTTTTTGCGATTACATTTATATTTCAATACATTAATATCAATAATTATTAAATGGGCGACCCCAGAAAGGTCAACTCATATCTCACCAATCGTCTACTCGTTACACGCCGAGTGAATCTCGTTTCTTATCAGCGCTTTAGTAAATTTTGATGTAATAGATTAATAGAGATTAATAGAGATTAACAGTTAACGCCGATTGATAAGCAAAGTAATTTTATCAATCTAATTAAAAACAAAGTGTAGGGCATCAGTTTAGGAGTTAAAAAACGAAGGTTAGCTCTGACGCGCGCCAGTGACTGGTGGTAGTGGTGTGCGATCACCCTTTATTCTGGCTTGATGTCGAACCGAGGTCTGGCACTTGCTTCTGCGTTGTGTCTAGTTTTATCATTCTCGCAAGCCCGGGTTCCCTCCCCCGTGCATGTCTTGCTGTCCTCGCTGGGTTGGGAAGTACTTCTCCCACTCAATCCGGCCTTCTCTGGCTACGCATTGGTCATTGGCACTTGTTGATCTATATGTACTCTCCAAACACACTTTTTTGTCTCCCACTTTTTCGATTTGAACAGTCAGGTTAGGCATCTTATTACAGAGAGCAGGTAGATACGTATTATTGCAATAAGGTGAAATCAGCGAAAGGGCGCTAGATATCAACATGTTTATGCTATGTATACTCGTGTGTCCATCGTATTTCAGTATGATGTATATGCTTGTTACAGGGTAATATAATAGGAAATCTTGTTTACGAACGTTCCGAGGTAGTATACTCGTTAGCAGTCAGATATAGTAGTGTCTTGTTTTATAGATAAGCATATTAGTATCTTGTGTAGCAGTCCAGATAAGTAGTGTCTTTGTTTATAATAAGATATTAGTCATCTTGTAGCAGTCAATGGTAAGTCATCCAGCTGCTAGCACGTGAATATACTAGTATCTTGTTTATAATAACGATAGCTAGTATTCTTGTTGATCGAATACAGAGTATCTAGTGTACTGTTTATCCATAAAGATCAGAGTGTCCTTTGTATAAATGAAGATAGTAGTATATTGTTATAATAAGATATTAGTATATTGTTCATCATAAGATAGTAGCTATCTGCTACGGTAGGATGCAGTTGCTCTTCTTACAAAGTAAAATTGTGTATATTTATTGGTAAGTAAGGTGTAGTATCTTCACCCACTACAGCTAACATAGTACTATCTTGTTTACGGTTAACGATACTGTATCTCCTCAAATATGGAATGTGGAATTTTATTACGATTAACAATGTGCATTCAAAGTTGGAGAGTTGTATCGCAGGCTTTTTATAGGAACGGCTCTCGGCGCGTATGCGTTCATGAGCTCCACACGACTGGCTCACACGTTCCAGCAATCACAATATCTCACACAGCAACACACACACACACAGCCCCCCCGGCGCACACACACACACAACACAGCACAGCCACACACACAACACACACACACCCACACGGTTGCCAGCAATCACATATTTCTGCCTCTCTCACACACACCACACACTCCCCACCGCACGCACACACACACCACACGACGTTCCAGAATCACATATCTTCCTCCGTCTCTCATCTCACA